CCCCCCCATCCCCCTATTCCAAAGATGCAGTCTATGGGGTGGCCATATAGCCTAGAAATAGAGATCTTAATATTTTGCTATTCTTTGTATCAATAAGTCCTTTGTTAAAAGATTTTCCTGGTTTCCAGACTTGGTGGTCACCTTGTATAATTCTTTCTCTTTTTTTGGAAAGAACAATGAAGTTTATTCCTGCTGCCTTAAAAATATGTATCCCTCCTTCATGCATCATGCCTGTCCCCAGGGAGTATCCTTTACTATTCCTGGGAATGACTTCTGGCTAAACCTTCATACTGGTGAGGAGAAAAAAGAAGCCAATTCCAGCACTTTACTGGTGTTGAAACACATCATTTACTTTCTAAAGGTATCCCGTGAATCCCCAGTCAGCTTACTATCTATGTGCTAATAAACCCATCTTCCTTACATTACTGCCCATATCCTTCTGGTTTATTTCCCTTTGTCCCTTCATATGAATATTTCTTGGCTATCTTAGTAGAAATACAGATCAGTGTCCTCATCCTCTTGATCACAGAAAAAAACAAGATTGTTTACTTTCTCTCCAATGCAATTGCCTCGTTCAGGTCTGTGAAATGTTGAGTGCATTATTATGTTGACTCTGAGCACTTTATAAGAGTTGCATTTGGGGTTGATGATGGGGAAGGGGTGAAAATCAGACATGTAGATAAAGCTCAGGTTTCCTGGGGAACCAGGTATAGAGAAAACACGTCCAACATGGAGAAAACGGCACAATTTAAACTGTTTCCATGGAGATGGTTTCTACAAACTAGAAAAAGGAAAAGTAGAGTTCAAGTTGTTATGGATAATTCAGAAGAGGAAAGTGTGCGTTTTTGAAGTACGGTGATCTCCAAACTCCTTTTTTCACTTCCTCCCTAATGTCATTGCCTTTAGAATTTTAGGGTGAGGTAGTGGAAATGGCGAGATCCCTGATTGTGTACTCTGCTCCTCCATCCTTCTCTCTTTCCTCCTTCCCAGCTAAATATGCAGTTGTAGCTGTTATCCAGTCTCTCAGTATGCCTCCACAGTGCTTGCTGTTGGAGAGCTTGCCCAGTACCTGCGGGTCCTTTTGCTAGATAAGATTTATAAGACATTAACACATTTTCCACAGACTTGGAAAAGACAAAGCTTGTTTTGTGTTCAGTGGCCTTTTAAACAAAAACAACAAAATCATTTCTGGTTTTCTTCAATAAATGCACTAGTTTTCTTATGATTTTATAAAATCAAAGTTGTATTGAAACTATTTGACAACAGTAAAATTAAAGGGACATCTTTTCTTGGTTTTCCTTCCAATGCCATACCTGCAGTTCCTTCACATTGGAGCTGAGATTAGTTTGGGTGGTCTTTCAGATTCTGACCTGACCCCACATTCTGTGGTTCTACCCAGCTCTAAGTTCAATTTGCTTTCCATCATCCTAATGGACTTCCCACTTACTGGGAAATTAAACTGCTGTTGTGTTTATTTTCCAACACAAAGGCAAACTTATTGTAGGTACCATTTATTGAAGTTCTGCTGAGTGAAATGTGCATTTTATAGGACGTTTACAAACATCTCATGAATCTTTCTAGCATTCTTTGAGCTAGATCTGATCCCTCTTTTATAAACAAAGAACGTAAGCATCAGGGAATTGAAGCATCTTGCCCAGGTTCCCCTGCCAATGAACAGTGTAGCCGGGACTCAAACCCAGGTTTTCCTGACTTCAAAGTCTGACATTTTCCCTGGATGTTAGCTACCTATGTCTTGCCTGCAAGCAACCCAGATTCTTGAGCCTGCTTTGTTCTGCTTGTGGCCTTATATCAGAAGCTGTAGAATTCATTACAGTAACTGCATGCCGGAGGAGTGTCTGAGCCCTTGGGCCTCCCCTCTGAATTCTGTTCTACAAATAAAAGGTGGCTAAAGCAGGCTGATGGGTAGAGGAGGCAGCCTCATGGTCCTCATCCTGGCTTTTGGTGTCCAATGTGTTGTGACCTTAAGGAGCCTTTACCCCCTGAGATCTCCCTGGCCACGGTTCCTACACACAGGCCTGAGCTYCTTGGGCTCTCCAGACATGCTCTTCTTAATCCAAACAAATCCTTCCTTCGTTCCTGCCCTCAAACAAGGCCTTGATGGTACATAATCACTCTGAAAGTGCTTTAAGGAAAAAACAGTGATCCAGCATCCAACAYAGGGCAACTTTTGACTTTTTTGTACCATCATCCCTGTGTTGCTCCGAATGCAAATTCACGCCTTTGCCTGCCATCCACTTCTCATGCAGTGACTGTGGCAATAACCAGAGGAGATTTACATCCTGTCCTGTCCTCCTTTACTCGAGATCACTCCCTTGGCCACTCTCAGCACTGTAGCTCAAATGAGCTCCCGTGTCATGCAAGGCCTACCCCTGTGTTTGGTAGGGAGAGGAAAAGGTAAAAATAGCAGTGGGAGAGGGTGACTTCTTAGAGGTGCTATGTAGTATTCAGACAGTGTAATTTCAGGTAGAAAAGATGCCTGCACAAACCCATACATAGGGTTTTTTTTTTTTTTTGTAAAATTTAGTTCACCAGAACCAGAGTTCAATATTTGACTTTAGTTATTTGTCTAAGGAGTTTAAGCCCCTGGAGACTTGCTAATCATAAAGACTTGTGTATTTCCAAGTGTGTTGGGGTATAGGCGCTCTTTAGCAGTTCCTCCGTGCTAAGTGCATTACATGCAATATCTAAGGAAATCCTCAACAGTTACCCAATGTGACAGATGTTATCTTGATTATTTTGTCTTGTCCTTGAAGAGCGAGACATGTGCTTCCCTGTACTTACAGGGATTTATTGGGAAATTCCGAAGGGTCTTTTCTGTACATCTCCCTAATTTAAGTTCCCCATTCTCTYGAGTAGGTAAACCCATGCATATGCCCTCGCCTAGAAACTTTGTTCTTTTCTGGTGCTCTCGTGCTGAGACAGGAAAATTGTACTCAGTGGGTCATGGCGGTAGTTGCACACTGAATATGCAGAGGGCATATGTCTGTACTCTGCTGGGTTATAGGATCTCAGGAGGCATTCATATCCACCAGATGAATTTCATTTGTTTACCTTTCATTTAACTTTTCTTGCTGCAGGTATATGCCAGAGARGCAATTCATAAGGTCAAGTCCTGTTCATAGTTAGGAGTTGCTTTCTTTTTTCCCTCCAGTTTTAGTAACTCCTGGTCTATTTGTTGTCTCCAGAGAAGAACCCAATAATGGACACATTCTTTCCATATGAGAATGTGGTCTGGTCATAAGTTGTCATTCTTTTCCATATATAACAGACCCAGCCTGGTTTCCAGATGTAGCGTGAGAGTTGGGAAACCATGAGGCTGTATTTTAATTATGAAAGAAAATCTGCTTTCTGTATTTGAGACATACTAAAAGTAAATKGCTCATAAATGCCATACCTTATCTTTCTTGTACCAAATTGCACAATTCTTGCCAGAATAAATGCCATTATCGGTATGCTTCAGGATATTCCTCAATTTGATCGTTGTGTGTATGTGTGTKGTGTGTGGGAGAGAGATAGGAGAAAACACTTCCAAAAAAGGAGAAAACACTTCCAAAAAGGCATACGAACTCCTTCCTCTGGTAACAATTAGGCTCTTCAAGGAAGTTCAGTGTCATTCTTTAAATGAAAGGTTTCCTGTTTAAAACTTTTTTCAAAGGAGCAGCCCACCTTGAAGATTCTCCCTGGGGAACAAACTATTTTGTATTTAACTTAGAAAAGAGTAGAGGAATGAAAAATGAACTCTGTCTTTATTTATGCTCCAAGGAATATTAGGGCTCAGAGGACTTTTCTAGTTTTATGAGAATTTGTACTACTGATTTTTATATATTCCTGTTTTTGAGATGAACAGATCTCTGGGGAGACTGTTGAGTTATAATGGCGTTTCACTGTGATCCCTCTCAAGCTCAAGCCTGTTTTTAACCTGGCGACGACGACAACCTGTCTCTTCCGTTTACCGTCCTGTGAAATGTCAGCTCGGAGTTTCCCAGAAGTCGTGTGTTTACGATGAGAGTGCTTCTCCTTGGTGTGACAGCTGTTCCCCCTGGATGTTGGTGTATGTGCTCAGTTCAGAGCAGCTAACCCTGTGTTCTGTTCC